GGCAATTTGTTATAACAATACAAACAAAAAATGAAACAGAAAATCCCTACATATCTTTCACATACCTATCAATGAAAACCCAGTCCGTTAATATTTCAATGATAGAGAAAATTCGAAAAAAAATTTACTCATTGCCCAAACGCTATGATGTATTGGAAACCATTTACAACATCTAGAGGGCAGCTTGATTGAGTAAGGGCGGGTATTATAAACCTACTTTGAGAGTTAACTTCTGGAATTACATGTAATTCAAAAAGTTAACTTCAAGTTAACTGTCAAAGCAGTTTTATAATACCCGCCCTAAATCAATGATAAGTGAATTACAGTTACAGAGGCGACAAACAGGTTCAGATTCATAAAAAAACAAGAAAGTTGAACAAGTCTTATATCAAAACAAATCAGCAAAGATACTGTATAAATTGATCCACTCTGTACATATTAAGAATCTTTTATTATAATAATTCACATACAAGATTCACCTCATTCTTAACTTCCGCGCGCGATCTGGTATACCTACAAGGAAAGTCACGCGTCACTTGCTCCCTGTTCTACTTTGCTAACTCTGCAGCAATTAACCAGCTCGAGATGTTTAATTTTTCATCCCACCGAAGTAGGTAGTTTTTTTTTTCCTTCTTAATTAGAAATGTTTAATTATTGAGTCGGTTTGATAAGGTAGACTTGGCAAAGTGTAACTAAAAGATAATAATGACTAGTTTTGATGGTTCTAAATTGTTGGCAAGAATGAGCCTATTATTTGAAAAAACTAGTATCTGTTGAATGTTGCGGAATGCGTTAAGGCATGCAGGTGAATTTGTAGAAAAATTAATTAAATGAGATCAAAAAGAAAATTGTAACTTGCCAAAATATTCAGATTCAGATGATTTGTCAGTTTATGTCAACTATGGAGGTTGTCTTTTATTCTTTGTCACTGTTTCCTCATACTGAGATAAGAAATAAATGTGTGGATGTGGATGATGCAGCTGTTCCAATCTTACCAAGCAATAGAAAATTATGAACTCTACTTTTCCACTATTAAAAGGATTCTTCGTCCTTAACTTGCAAATTGCTACTGCAGATAAGCTCAATAAAGACAGGTGATTGTAAACCAATACTTTTTCTTTTTGGATGCTGTTACGGATAAAAACTTCATCCTTGATGAACTAAGGTACAATCTATGTCAGAAGTTACCTACTTCAGCAAATGAGGCACAACAACATTCAAGTTCATAAAATTGAAACTGATTGTAAAGGAAATCTGTGGAGTCTGCAGCAACAACTGAAAACTTTGTAGGTGGAGTTACGAGCGAAGAAGATCCGAATAATCAGAATTACCTATCTAAAGATAAATACCTATATTATCACAGAACTAATACTTCTGGATTTTCTATGTTATTTCATTCGATTCAGTAGATATGATAGAAAACACAGAACCTCTAGAAGTCTTCAATTCTATTATCAAGATAATGTAAAGTTTCATGAGCGAGACTTTTGTTATTTCATCTGTATCTACTTAAAAAAATACCTACACCAAATTGTATATATGTTTCATGGGCCTCCTAAGCCACAACTCAACAATAACCACAATTATAATTTTTTGCACTGTGGGTAGTAGAACTAATATTTCATAAAAGCCATCAGAACGGTACTCATTTGTAAATAGAAAAAATATCATTACTTCCGAGAAGCTCAAAAATGATTCAGCCCATGCCCATATTCGATTAAAAGAATAAGTGTGGCAAGGTACAGTTAAGTTTAATACGCCTTCCATGACCAGATTATTGTATTGTTAATGCATTATGAATAAATAAACAAACTCAGTCGTCTGTTTTGGGCAATGGGTTCCTATTATGGGATATTTTCAGACCGGAAAAATCGCGAAGATGCATTGCATTTTAATAAAGCAAGTAGACAATTTTAGAATGAGAATATAAAGAGTTTCAGATACCGTTTCCGGACAAATTAAGTTGACTGAATAATGGATTGGATGGAAACCAAGAATCAAATTGGATCAATTTCTCTCATTTTAATATCATTATAAATTTTCCATCATCGGGTGAGTACCAAATCAATTTATTTCAATTTTTTGTGTCTGTTCGTTCATCCTCGTAAAATTTACGTCATAATAAGATGTCAGTAGGCCATGTGAGTTGCTCTCTTCAAGAGAATCTTGTCGTTCTTCGAGCCGGATCTTCGTTCCTAAGAATTGCAATGTTGTCGCTGAATGTATGGGCGGCGTTGCCTGATCAATTATTACTTTTTTGATGAGTCAAATTATTTGAAAATGCATAATCAAGAAGGTTTTGATTAACACCACTTTACCTTTAAAACTTGAGAAAATTTAACCAAAAAATACGCTGTATAACCTCGATTGAAAACCAACGCGGCTGGTCATTGGTAAGAACTGGTTCTTAAATTTTTGACTCACATACCTGCATAAATTGTTTACCGATTTATATCTCTTCTTATTTTTTTTTTTTCGCGTGCTAAACCTATTGGCTATCAGGTAGAAGTGACTTTGGAATTTAGCTCGTATAAGAACAAAGAACAAAAAATATTATTAATATTGCATAAAATTAAATTTCAATATACACTAGTATGCTAAGAAAGTATGGGCGCGGCCACGTATATGTCTCTTTAGCAATAATTACAATAACAAAATACTTCATGTAAGTCTTGGTGCATTTCAGGCCCACTGTAGAATTGGACAAGGTTGTTTGGTCGATAATATTATAAACTAAAGAATGCGGTTTCTTATGAGAGAAATGGAAACCATAGTCGCTTCTAGTTAACTTTTTTTTTTAAACTTGCTAATTTGTTCAAATAATAAATCTGGTCACATAAAAGCGAAAATGCGGTTACAGTTAGATTTTGTTAAGGCAAACGAGAAGTACCGTTTCTGCCAGGGTCTTTCCTTGCATATCAAATAGATCACATTTTTTCGTGGTTACCTAATACGGCACTCAAGGCAAATTGATACCAGGGATATAAGTGTTATAACCAAAGTCATATGTACATTTTTATTCCACAACCAGATGAATTATGGCTGGCTCATATAGAAATGCAATAAAACCGTTTCAGTGAAGAAATTTTTCACTTTAAAATGTCCGTCAAGAATATCGTAACAATTACGAGAAGTCGGGAAGCAAAAGAACCCACACGACAGCAGGTAGATAGGGTATTTATCCTCCCCAATATAATTTAGGGTGGAGAGGCACCTGTTAAAAGCCAAAGGAATAATATTCTTGGTATTCAATGTAAATTTGAATACCTTCTTTGGAACTTAAAAAAGGAAGATGCCTCGTAGACTTATAGAAATGTTTTCAGACAAAACAGAAAAAAGAAGAATTTTATATAACTTATAGCATTATGTTGTTAGTGTGAAACTTACAGACCAGACATAAGAATAGACATCTTCAAAGTTAGGTAAAGGTTCAGCTAGGAAAGCTACTCTGTACTTGAACAATTAATTTTAAAAGAATGATAATATTAGAGAACAAATTATTTATGGACACTGTAAATAAACTTTAAAAAATGAATATTTCCATAAATAATGATTCACGTGGTTACTATCCATAAAAATTTTAGACTTACTGTGGATTTTTTGGTACCTATAGTTGACTTGCAATAAGTTACTTACTGCAAGTCAACTATATAGGTACCAAAAAATCCACCAATATCCGAAGAACTAAAAAATACAATTATGGAAAGAGAGCGAAGCTTACAGAAGCAAAGAAATTATCAAAAAACTGAAGAAACTTCTTCTACCAAACAGAAAACCCCGATTTCAAAAAAAGATTCAAAGAAATGCCAGACGAATCCCCTACCGTCAAAAGATATAACAGAAGAAAAGAATAGTCAACAAAAGTATACCGAATCAAAAAGTTCAAGAAAAAATGTCGTACCACAATATTTATCAATGAAGACAATACCTTGATTCGAGTTGCATCAAGTAGGTACTGGTAACACACATAACTTTTGCAAGGGCTGCTTCAAAACTTAATTTTTTCTATTTGTAACTTCCATAAAATTACGAAAAGCGGTAAGTAGACCCTTCTTCGGTCCAACTTTGAATTTGACTGTCCTCATCAGCATCCACGGCCAAGTTTATCCATCTTGGACAGCATATTCCTTCAAACTGTCTGCCTACCTCATCTCTACATCCTGCCCTTGTATTTTCCTTAAGGTCTCCAATTGTTCGATCTTTCGTCTTTGTCCCTAATATTGTTTACTGATAGTTTCTATTTCGGTTTTGTCATCTTTCTTCTATATCTTTTTTTTCTAGAGGTCTTATGCGCTCGTTCCTTTTGGTCTGATTTGGAGGATTATAAATCATAGTTTTCAACTTATTCTTCTTTAGTATTCTGGTCTTATTTACGACTGTTGTATCTTCCTTAATATTTGTCATAAAGTTTCTTTATTTTCAGTAGGTAATTCCTATTCCTATTACCTATTGAAGACAATGATCAATTTTCTTGACGTTGTAGGATTAGTATTTTTCTCAAGAGTGAATTTTCTTCTTCAAACTTCTAATTCTTCATTTTTGAATAGCCTTGTACTATTAAAGTTATACATTTCCAGTGATGTATCCTTTGTATAAATATAGAGGATTTTCCAGAAAGAAAATATCGTTTGAGTTAAATTTTATTAGGATATTAAAAATACAATATATTTATGTCGCTCGAGATTTTAACAGTCGCATAGACGAGGAAACCTCATGCATGCTACATGGCATAAACGGGGTAAAAGTAAACTTATATGGTTTAACAGGAAAGAAGTCTTTATAATAGAGAATATTGTATTTATAAAAATCCAAGTTGTTTAAATTTTGTAGATGTTAATACCGCGCTGTCTTATGAAAATATTCAATAGGTAATTGCTACCTACAGCAACACTAGAAATATGCAAAACATCTATGATTAAGGATGGGCATAAAACAGCCATCTTCTTCTTCTTGTTCTTCTTCTTCACGGTTACCTAACCTATACGTGACTCGAAACTTACCCAATTTTTCTCAGCTAACAGCTAAACAATAGAAAAAAACAGTCAAAGCCAACACATAAGTTTCCTTCCAGCCTTTCTCGTATAAACAGGATTTTCCAAAATTTAAACTTTTCACTGACTTGTTAACTAACGGTATACAGATGGTACTATAAGCGCGCCGTACAACGATTGGTACCACACGGGTCGTTGGTGCGGTCAAGCGAGCGAGTACTAAAGAAGACGGAATTCTCGAAAGAACGCGCCCGGTTGGTGCACAGGTACCTCTAGCAGTGGGAGAAAGGTAACTTGGTTTAGAAACGCGCGATTGTACTGAGTGACTCAAAAAAATCTACGAGTATTGCAGAGAAGTAATATACACATGTATCATTATGATGGTTGGTTTTATACTTCGGTAATGCGTAGAAATCCCGATGCCACGTCACCAAAATTAGACTCCGTATTTGTCCTGACCGTAGAAATTCCGACACAATTTGACTGAAGTCAAACACCATGTCAAACACCGTATGTCTAAGCCGTATGTTCCTGAAACGCATTTGGCCGATACACTTTTTTTTGTTCCCTGACACAACGTCATCAAAATGAAACTCCCGAACCGTATTTTTCCCGGAACATTCTCCTGACAGGCTGACAGTACTGATGTATTGACTTTGGTCACGTTGTGTCGAGATTTCTACGGTTGGGACAAATACAGAACTCAGTTGGATCCATAATACTGTGCTGACCGTTATACATATAGCTAAATTGTTCTAAGTTAATTTTGCTCTTGTTTTGTATAAAACCTTCTCAAGTTCAAGAACATGGTTTTTGGTGCCGCCACCCTGTAAGTTTTGAAAAATCTTCCATTCATCACAAGACTTTATAAATCAATTAAAATTACTTACCCCAATAAAAGCAAATTTGCATAAGATAGAACCCATCTACCCATCATTATCATGGTTGGTAGGGGTATACTTCTGTAATGCGTATTTGGTCCGACCGTAGAAATCCCGATGCAACGTCACCAAAATTAGACTCCGTATTTGTCCCGACCGTAGAAATCTCGACACAACTTGACTGAAGTCAAACGCCGTATGTTCCTGAAACGCATTTGGCCGATACATTTTTTTTTTGTCCCCTGACACAACGTCATCAAAATGAAACTCCCGAACCATATTTTTCCCGGAACATTCTCCTGACAGTGCTGATGTATTGACTTTGGTCACAATGTGTCGAGATTTCTACGGTTGGGACAAATACAGAATTCAGTTGGATCCATAATACTGTGCTTACTGTTGTACATATAACTAAACTGTTCTAAGTTCATTTTGCTCTTGGTTTTGTATAAAACCTTCTCAAGTTCAAAAATCTGGTTTTTGGTGCCACCATCCTGTAAGTTTTGAAAAATCTTCCATTCGTCACAAGACTTTATATAAATAAACTCGGTATATGCCCCGAACTCTATTTTTCTCGAAACATTCTCCTGACAGTGCTATACAGGGTGAGCCCGAAATAAGTGCGCATTTTGTTATGATAGATGGAGTACAGTAGGACAATCCCTTTTTGCATAGGTACTTGTGTCCGCAAACGTCTCGTTAAGAAAATACAGAGTGTTGAAATTTTGACTTTCTACCTGCCCAGATAGCACAAACATATTGCAGGAATATTCATGGCATATTTCATGGGACTATGCAGATATCCCATGCAGATCTATTTATGTGACTGGGATATCCCAGGCATATGCTTAAGTCACCATAAAACATATTCCGGTAATATGCCACATATGATAATTGGATATTGGAATATGCAATGAATATGCAATATCCTTAAAGAATGTCTAATGAATATTTCATGCATATTTATTAAATATTCACAGAAAACTCTCCCTGGTGTATCCCCTCAAAATTGACGCCCCGACCATATCCACAGATATGAAAATGCGTGACGACCTGAAAGTAACCATATATTACTTTCCAGACGTTTGTTTAAAATTTTGCTGTAAAATCTTCCTTTCGCATATTAAGGGAGCATGCAAAACGCAAACATGATATTCAAGACAAATCCTATAACTGCATACCTGGAATATGCCAAATTAATACGAAATATTACAAATATGCTGGGGGAACATTGCAATATGCCTGTGAAAATTGTTCGATACACTTCACTCTGTTAGAAAAATAAGAGTCGTTCTAGGTCCGGTCCTGGAAAAGTAAAACTCGATTAGATTTTCAACAAAGATGCTTGGGAACATCGCAAACACTCTCTGAAAATTTGAGCAAAATCGCTCAAGGCATTTTGAATCTAAAGGCAAAAAGTCAAAATTTTCCGAAAATTTAAACACACTGTATTTTCTTAACGAGACGTTTGCGGATACATGTAGGTATATACCTATATGCAAAAAGTGATTGTCCTACTGTACTCTATCTATCATAACAAAATGCGCACTTATTTCGGACTCACCCTGTATTGACTTTGGTGACGTTGTGTCGAGATTTCTACGGTTGGGACAAATACAGAATTCAGTTGGATCCATAATGCTGTGATGACCGTTTTACATATAGCTAAATTGTTCTAGTCCATTTTCCTCTTGGTTTTGTCGTTTTGTATAAAACCTTCTCAAGTTCGAAAACATGGTTTTTGGTGCCACCACCCTGTAAGTTTTAAAAAATCATCACAAGACTTTATAAATCAATTAAAATTACCCCAATAAAATTAGATTTGCATAAGGTAGTACCCATCTACCCCAGATGCCCAGATGTTCGAAACCCCAACCCTCAATCGACTAAAAATGTAATTTATTTATTATCCTGACTTTTTCTCAGCTTTACAACTATTGGACACCTGCTTAAAAATAAATTATCATAATTTTTGAAAGAAGCCTAGGTGTCAGGTAATTTAAAACTAATAAAGTAATAGGTAAACTTGATGGTATACCTATTTTGTACGTGTTGGGTTCTATAGGTTTTGGCTTTTTCTACAATTATTGGTCTTGTACGTGAGTATGGCTTAATGGGCAAATATCCCAAAGTAATATTATGATGTCATTAATAAAAATTACTTACAAAATTTCCGGTTCTAGTTTTTTGCTTTTGTATTGTATATTCCTGGTAGTTTATATTCCGGTTCCAGGTATAGTGGAATTCTACTAAGAGTTGATCTTTCGAAAATAAGAGGCAGAACTTATTCTCATCCTTCTTCTGGCTGTTATGGGCTCAACTGTTGCATGATTCTCATCATCATTGTTACTCATGAATGAATGAATATTCTATGGCTCTTCTCCTCCAAATCTCGTTTCTTCTGTGGTTCTCTTGGTCTCTTGCAATGCCCTGTTTTAATAAATCATTCAAATGTGCTTTCACGTTATCCAAGTTGTACTATACAAAAGAACATCCTCAAATTACGTTCTCTTATCTTTTAATTTAAAATCTGACGGAAAATTCCATTTTTTTTTACAAGGCCCTAAAAGCTACCAACAATAATCCGACCTTATCATTAACCAGCAGGTATTTATGGTCGGCCCGCTGCGTTTGATTTATAACAGTTAAGGTGTACCCTTGCATGCACCCCTCTTCCTATTATCTTCTGCCCGAAAACTTTAGAATGGTTGTTGTACAACTGAAATTGCTATGGGTTGAGGCACGGTCTGAAGGTTGACTCATGTTGATATAGGGTGAGAAAAAAAAAATGTCGAGTCAGCATTTGCATTACTTATACCATAATAAATTAATTGGTTCTTTTTTCACGGTACAAATCATTCAACTCAATTATAATTCAAAGGAGCGTGCGTTGAAGAGACGGATGATAGTCCGTAATCGGTTGCTGAACTCGTTTTAATAATATTTTTGCCGCGTGGATATTATAAGTAGTGCAAATGGTCTATAAGTTGATTATATGGACAAGCCTCAGTTTATTAATCTAGATTAGATGCTTATGGAACTAATGCTTTTAGTAGGTACACAATTGGTTTTTTGAGGTCAGAATCTTTTTTTCATTAACTGATTTTTACTCTTCTATTAAAACTGTTGATTAAGTTACAGCAATTAAAGCAAAAGAAGTTAAATTCGGTTTTTTTCATTGTGGTATGTCGTAAGAGGACGTTCACGTTTTCATGGTTTGATTGCGATTAAATGAATTGTTTCCTATGCAAAAGAAAGCAGCAGATTAGATTATCGGTTTATCAGAGTGTTAAATGTTTGTATTTTGATTCAGGGACGATTCACTATAGAAAGAGAAATTTCATTTTTTAGACGAGTCGGTGTTTCTAGTTTTACATAATTTTTAAATTAAATTCTTCAAAGCTTTTGAGAATCGTATAAATAAAGACATTGGAGAAACGGAAATGTAGTATGTAGAATACTCAATAATCCGGCTATAGAATTATATCCGGTTAGGGGAGACACTGTAGTTACAGACGATTGTTAGGTAGGTATTTACTGAATTTTTCAAGGTTTCGAGGACTGAAAGAAAGGTATCGGATTTTCCTAGGAAAAAAAATGTCTTCAGTATCCACGGAATTAGAATATTCCCAGATATTGGGATATATCTTCATGTTCTTCCCAACTGCTTTGAAGTGTTCTCATCCCATCTTCTTGGATCTGCTGGTTCTTCTTGGATCTCCGCATCCAATGCGTCCAGATCCAACTCTTATTTGTCTTCTCCATCCCCTTCTCCACTCATTTTTCTTTTCCCACAGATAATTTAACTAATTGAAATTCTTTATTTTTGGATGAGCCCCTCCCTCTCCAAATCTGAGTTGTTACAATCATCCCTAACTTTTTGGAATGTAGCTGGCATGTTCTTCAAACCAAAGGGCATGCGCAAGGATTCATAATGCCCGTTTTCTATGCTGAATGCGTTTTTTTCGATGTCGTTTTCATGCATCTGGATCTGGTGGAAGCCGCTAGCTAAATCTAAGGTGGTGAAATACTGGCACCGTCCCAGCTTCTTCAAGAGATCCCTTATGTTGGGTAATGCGTATCTGTCATCTAAGCTTTTTGTATTAAGGCCCCTAAAATTTACTATACTAAACTAAACAAGAAAATATTCAAAGTGTTTGTCAAAGTGGGTATAGCAAAAACAACAACAATATAAAACACACAAGTTTGATACGAAAAAAAAAATAGTTAGGAATCTTAGGATCAGGAACTCAATATTTTTGTACCTACTCACTACACCCACTACATACAATGCCAAAATAACTATGGGGGCTCCGCTCCCATAGTAAATTCACTACGGGGGCTTAAGCCCCCATTGCCCCCATGGTTCCGGCGCCTATGTCTAAATTCTAACCAAATCTTCACTTACCATATACCTACCTACCAGGAATGTAAGACAAAATAAAACGACTAAGTAAAGAATACAAAATAGGTGGGTACCTACGCACAGAATGCAATAACATTTTAAATTACGCAGTTGGTTCTGATTTAGGAGCCAATATTATTTACAAAGTTCCAAACTTAACAAATGTCATCTAAAGGTTGTTTGGGTAGGTAGCTATTTCCAAATTTCACAAGCTAAGAGAGAACATCCTCAAGAACCATTAGCGTCTTTTTTGGAGTAAATCTATAAGCTTAATGGCTTAATGCCTAGACTAGAAGCAGAACCATTTGCGTCAATTATTTCTGGAATTTTAATAGTCCTAATACCATTGAAAGGGCCTCCTTTAATCTTTCAAGAAATCTTAAAACCCGAACCCAGACCTGTCGTGTAAAACAAGTTCTGATAATGTGTTTTAAAATGTTCTAATGCGATGAAAAAAAAAAAGAAAAAAAATGTTGATAGTCATATATAGGTACATTCAAACAAAAACTACCATCAACCTCTTAAAATTCGATTGCTCAATGAACCTATAATTAAACCGGGTTTGACGGATCCGGATGGCCCGATTCGCAACATCGCGTGTGGAAAGGAACAGGTAAAAGGAATGCCCTGTATTTGGCCGTACTGACCAATATACCGAAGACTGTTTGGGTTCGGTTTGGAACCAAGAAGCGGGTCGCATTCTTGCGTTGGCCCTGGCCACGGATGAACGGTTTATTCTTAGGTCGATGAACGCCCAATATGGCGACGATTTTTTGGTATAAACAATACACAAGGATAAAGAATTGTATAACATTTTTAGATTAAATACGTTTGGTTTTTGAAGAATTATAACATCGTCATGTCGATCACTCATAAACTTCAAGAGGAATGAGGAAAACCATTGGCCATTATTGGGGTTGCCTATTCCAATTCCAGTGACCTAAGAAATAAAATCTATAATGAAAACATTTCCCAATCAAATCTTTTATCTGTTAAACATGTTCGATCAATAAAGTTAATTTCCTGCCACATTTTCAATATAAATCCCATCGATGCAGTTTGTCTTGTCCCGATGAAGGAACAATAATTATTATTAATATTGTGACTAAAAATACGCGAAGAATCTCATGATTAAAATGGCTATCGGAATTCGGACACTGACACCTGCTTTCTTCGTGATACCTATATTTAATTTATATCATACCAAAGTCAATTTCAATAAATATTTTTTATTCTATATACAAGCAATAAATAACCGATGACAATCCTCATCAGCCAAAAACGTGACATATGGATTATATCCCGTCCGCATTCTCAGCTTCATTTTGTTTCCTGGCTGCCTCCGAAGCCAGACAACTTCGAAACTATCCAGAATGGGACGTAAAGTGGTTAATTCTGTCGTGTTATGAGGTGGAGTAAGCTGACTAGCACTACCTCCTGAAAATTAATTTAAATAATAATTTGAAAACAAGCTCTTCTATTATTCTCACCATCAAATCCTAATTGGGTACAGATTTGTTCCAGCTGTGTGGTGGAGTAGTTCGAGTTGAAACAACCATTATGCCATATTCCAGCAGTCCTGGTCATTACTTCACCAGCATTCGTCCTAGAAGAAAAATATAATTATCAATGTATCTAATTTCAAAAACAAATATTTACTTTTCTCTATTTTCCGTTTTCAAAATTAAACAAGCTGCTTCATCCTCTCCATTCGGACAATCTTCCACTCCATCGCATACCATGTCTTGTGGAACACATTTATTTAATCTAAAAAAAATTTTCATTACGTACCTACTTAAAATATTAGAATAATTATTTCTAACTCACTTTCCGCATTGAAAATCTCCGAGTTTGCAACTGCAAATATCAGGATCTTCGTCGGTCCGGTCCATACAATTGAGAGTGCCGTCGCAAATTTTTCCCGGATTAGTTAGTTTCAGGTAGTTCCTACAGGTGCAAACATCTGGTTCGTCTTCGAATTCTCCACAATTGTTTGTTCTGTCACAAAATGAAGATTTGGGGAAACATTTGTTGGTCGTTGGACATTTGAGATCGGTTGGGGAACAAACTAAAATAATTGTCAATATTTATTTATAGTTTGTTTAAGGTATTGTGGCCGGTATTAGTTAGTAATTTTTAAAGCTTAAGATTGACTGTGATACGATTTAGATAGTGATTATTGTTGTAAGAGTTGTAAAGAGTTAAGTTGTTTGAGGTAATTAGTGTCAGAGTGTGGACGTGGAATAAATTACACTTGTGTTAATTGGATTTTCATTTTGGAATAAAAGAACCCACGATTTCTGACACGCAAGCCAGCCGTGACATTGGTGTCAGAACTGGATATAATTCAAGGACAGCAAAGTGAAATCCGATTGCAGAATAGTGGGGACACTAGTGTAGTGTGGACACTAAGTGAACACTGGGACAGTTAGTCAGTGCAAGCAGTGACAATTACGAAAAGAGACTTAGCCGATCGTGTAAATTACCCCGGAAGTGACTGTATACCCGATTTTGACTGTGATAGTGAATCTTCAAGTAAGTTCTAGAAAATTCTATTTGGAAAACAAGGGAGATATCGAATTTGTGACTTCACCGATACAAATATTTGATACATCAGAAAAGCAGATCAGGACATTGGGCAAATTCTTCATCTTAAAGAAAATGATGAATGTAGGCCAGAATGAAAGGAAGTGTCGAACAAGAGTTTGATTTACAAAGCGTAGTGGGCTCAGTGGAACTCTTTGGTCGTAGAAACTACTACGAGCCAACTGGTTATTCCAAAAGATTGTGTAGAAGTTATATTGAAAGAAATACATGACAGAACTTCAGGAGCATATTTTGAAATTTACAAAACTTTGGATAAAATTCGGGAACGTTTTCATTGGGTTCACTATCATGAAGACGTTAAAAACTGGTGCCGAAAATGCGTCATCTGTGCTACCAGGCCCTAAACTAAGATTTCGGGGGCCCATGAAACAGTACAACGTCGGTCTTCCATTTGAAAGAATAGCGATAGATATTGCCGGACCGTTCCCTGAGTTAGAGTGTGGTAACAAATACATATATGGTAGTAAATGGCCAAAAGTTTTCGCTATTCCCATTCCCAATCAAGAAGCCATCACTATTGCCCAGGTACTATAGTGGACGAAGTTTTCAGTCATCATAGTGTTCCACTAGAATTGCATTCAGATCAGGGACGAAACTTCCAATTTGCCATCTTTAAGAAAATTTGTGAGATCATGGGCATTCGTAGGACAAGGAACACACCTTTACATCCACAGTCTGATGGCATGGTAGAACAATTTGAAAAAAGGGCTTACAGAGCAGCTGTTCACGAGTCAACAGGTGAAAGTCCAGCTAGAATCGTTTTTGGAAGGGAACTCAGGTTACCTTGCGATCTGATGTTTGGAATACCTGAAGAAGAACGAAAAGAAATTCGAGATTATGCTAACGAAGTAAAAGGCATGACTTCTGGGAATACAAGATTTTGTTCTGAGCATATCCAGCTGGCCAGTGATCGAATGGAAACCAAATACAATACTTGAAAGCCAATTCAATCGGATTTCAAGAGGGTGATTTAGTGTGACTGTATAATCCAACAAGAAAGAAAGGAGTGTCGCCGAAATTGTCTTCAGCATGGGAAGGACCCTACAAAATAATCAAGAGGATCAATGATTTGGTTTATCCAGTTCAGCGCAACACCAGGAGTAAAAGGAAAGTTGTACATTGGAACAGATTGACGAAATATCATCGGCGTGAAGTTGATCGGGACGATCAACCTTAAGAGGAGGGCAGTGTTGCATATAAGTTTTGATGCTCAGTGTATTTGTAGAATTCTTTTACCTTATACCTGTGCCGTTTTTGACTTTTGTAGACCAATCTCTGGTAGACCAGTTAGTTTTTGTCGATTGTCAGTCTGTCAACGTGTTGTTCAGATTGCTAACAAAGTGTTGTTACAATTCTTTGGCCCGAGAAGTGTTATTCGCCCTTTAAAAGGCAGTGTGGCGCCTTCGCCATACAGTACAGAATCTAACTTGAAATCTAGAAAATACTGCTTTATTCGGGCAAAGAGATAATCGCGTTCATTCTGGATTTTACAAGAATGGATTACAGATATAAAAGGCCAGTATTAGTTAGTAGTTTTTAAGTTTATGATTGACTGTGATACGATTTAGATAGTGATTATTGTTGTAAGAGCTGTAAAGAGTTAAGTTGTTTGAGTTAATTAGTGGAGTAATTAGTGTCAGAATGTGATGTAACGTAGAATAAATTACTGTTGTGGTAATTGGACTTTGATTTTGGAATAAGCGAACCCAAGTTTCTGTCACGCAAGCCAGAGCCGTGACAGTATTATAGTGGCAATCATGCTGCAATATTAATTCTGAATTTCATTTGCTGGATCACAATAATCCCCCATAACTGCATTCTATGACAATTTACTTTACTACTTAAGTAGTTTTATTAAACAATGAAGATCAGTTGGCCCAAAACTAGGGGTCGACAAGACAAGAATTCTTGTCTTGATAACAACTTCTTGTCTTGTCTTGAGAAAAAATCAAGATCACTCGACGTTTTCTTGACATCGTATATCTTGTTTTGAATCAAGAAATTTCAAGATCTTGAAATTTCTTGATTAATCGGTGGTTCTTACGGCAATCTGGTGGTTCCCCGATTGTTATTTGATTTCTGACGAATGCAAATGACGTCGCGCAGTTGCACGCTTCACCCCGCTTAGCGAAGGTTTTTATCATCGAGCGTTTTTATTATAAAGTGGTAGGTAGTCATTACCTGTTTTGTTATATTTTTGATGCCAATTTGTGAATAGTGGTTGAGGTAGTAAAAAGTACATTATATATATATATATATATATATAAACAATGGGAGTTTCTTGGGGTATCGGTCGTCTTGAAGGGCTAGGAAATAAAAATCTCTTTTTCCACTAAGCCAAGCTTTCGGCAATTATTTATTGCCTTCGTCAGGGCTACAACAATATAAAAGATCTTATTATTATGAATAATCAAAACTATGACTAGGACATATAAATTTTTAACTATAACTTACTTGCAAAGTGAGAATTTTATAGTCGAAAAGCTTTCAAATTGTCGGAAAATTGTTGTTATTCTATTTTGACTATCAAACTGTACAGAATATAAATGTTAAAAATATGGAAAAATAATTAATAAACAATAATTGATAGATATAAGAAAAATAGAAGAGATAGAAGAATATGTAGAATAAAATTTTGAAGTGTATAAATACTAGTTTCTCATAGACATTGATTTTTGGTGTCATCACTAGACCAGTTAGGTAATTTTAGGAATAAATTTAATTAGATGTAAGTAGGTTCGAATAAATACTACTGAGATCTTGAATATCCTTTCTTTTATTTAGGCATAAAGGTTCTTGAGATATCTCTACCATTTCTAGAAACAAACGTTTATTTAAATTTTGTTCATGAATAATCACTTGTGAATTTCCAAAATCAAAATCGTGTCCTTCTTTAGTAGAATGTTCTGAAAGAGCACAAGAAAGAATAGTTCTTCTACAATCACTTTTATGTCGTGTTATCCTATCTTTTAATACAGTTGATGTTTGACCGATATAAACTTGATTACATTGTTCGCAAGGAATTTTATAGATTACTGAAGATTGTTTTAAAGTTTCATCTTTGTCTTTGACTTTAGAGTATAAATTGCCTATTTTATTGATATGTTTGTGTGCAATTTTTATGTCTGGTATAATTTCTAATATTTTGATTACTTTTTGTGAGACACTTTTAATATATGGTAATGCAAAATAATATATTTTATTTTGTATCTGAGGATCATTACTATTTATTATAATATTATTATTTTGTTGGTTATTCCCCATAGAATTATTTGTAATAAGTGACGTATTGTATAAATATTTTTTGAGAAAAGCATCTGGATAAGAGTTATCTTTCATTATATTATAAAGTTTTTTTATGTTATTTTCTCTAAATTCAGGGTGGGAAATTCTCTCAATTCTTCGGCGTAATCCTAATATAACATTTATTTTCATTTTTGTTGTATGGTAGGAATTGAAGTTGATATATCTACCTGAGCTTGTTGGTTTAGAATACCAATCAAGTTGGATTTTATTTTGATCATTTCTTATCACTAGAGTATCTAGAAATGGTACACTTTGATTATTTTCAGTTTCAATTGTGAATTGAATATTAGGATCATAACCGTTAAATGTTGAGATTAGTTCTGTAAGTTGGTCACGTGGGATTGCACAGATTAAATCATCCACGTATTTTTTAATGAAAGGCATATCAAAATGAAGTTTTGGAATACATTCGTTCAAAAGATCATCCATTACATATTGAGCGATAATAGGAGACATTGTTGCACCCATAGGTGTGCCTAAGATCTGTTTATAAAAAATATTTTGAAATCTGAAATATGTTGAATCGAAAATAAATTGTAATATTTCAAGAAATTGTTTTTGAGAAATATTGGTATGCTCAGAAATAATAGACCAGTGTTTTTTAATGCTTTTTTCTATTAAGTAGTAAGGTATTTTACTGAATAAAGAAACTACGTCAAGGCTTACAACTACATAATTGGCAGGTATACTCATATCATTGACAAGTTCTGAAAATTCAAAAGAATCAGTTATGTAATATGTATTATTTTTACTGTATGCGTTTGTCAAAACATCCGTGATTAGTTTTGCTAATTTACAGTTTGGAGCATTAATGGATGAAATAATAGGTCTTACAGTTAATGTAGGCTTATGGATTTTAGGAAGGCCATAAAATTTAGGTGCTGCTTGATTATAGATTGTTAAGGTTTTTGAAATTTCATTCGTGATAACTTTTTGTTTCAATAAAGATGACACTAATTTGTTAGATTTTTGTTGGAAAGTAGATGTAGGATCTCTGTTGAGTTTTTTATAACAACTTTCATCACTAAGTAAATCATTACATTTTTCTATGTATAATTCTTTTTTCATTATGACAGTTACATTACCTTTATCTGATCGTGTAACAATAAGGTCTGTATGTAATTTGAAAAATCGTTTTGTTTTACGGAAAAGAGTTTGGAGAAAGTTGAGAGTAGTAGGTTTATGAACAAAATTTGTTAGGACATTTGTAATTTTTGATCTAATTATATTTCTACTTTTTTCTGGACAGTGGAATAGTATGTTCTCTATGCTAGAAAGATATTGTTTGATTGAAATATCATTTACTGTTGGATTAACACTAAAATTGTGACCTAGTGAAAGAAACTGCAATACATCTTCAGGAATTTCATTATCAGAAAGATTTTTGATCCAGTTATCTTTCGTTTTAAGGAATATAGATTTGGCTTTTTCTTTTAAACTATTGAGTTTATCTTGATTATTTAATTTAGTTTTTTTAAATTTGCGTTCATATGTATCGTTTTGTGAAGAGAAAAAGATATCTAAAATTTCATAGGGTAATATTTCTTCCAATTTTTCAAATACCTTGCTTTGAGAATATTCTAAACTATCTAAATGTTTATGTGCTACAGTAATTTCTAAGTTTAATATTTTAGTTTGAAGTTTAATAGTAAACTCAATTATTTGATGACTTAATTGATTATCATGGTATTCTAAAGTTAGATGAGTATTTTTGGTATTATTAATGATATGTGTAGGAATAATACCTTCTCTTCTACAAGAGAGGAGAAATATTTTTCGGTTCCGACATGATGATAGCTTGATGTTGATTGATGCCCATTTCTTCAATAGTCTAACTGATTCAGCTCCATATTGTTGCTTAATCGTTTGGTAGAACCCCATACCTTATATTTACAGAGTATCTTGACCGGAGAATTTATAAACAATGGGAGTTTCTTGGGGTATCGGTCGTCTTGAAGGGCTAGGAAATAAAAATCTCTTTTTCCACTAAGCCAAGCTTTCGGCAATTATTTATTGCCTTCGTCAGGGCTACAACAATATAAAAGATCTTATTATTATGAATAATCAAAACTATGACTAGGACATATAAATTTTTAACTATAACTTACTTGCAAAGTGAGAATTTTATAGTCGAAAAGCTTTCAAATTGTCGGAAAATTGTTGTTATTCTATTTTGACTATCAAACTGTACAGAATATAAATGTTAAAAATATGGAAAAATAATTAATAAACAATAATTGATAGATATAAGAAAAATAGAAGAGATAGAAGAATATGTAGAATAAAATTTTGAAGTGTATAAATACTAGTTTCTCATAGACATTGATTTTTGGTGTCATCACTAGACCAGTTAGGTAATTTTAGGAATAAATTTAATTAGATGTAAGTAGGTTCGAATAAATACTACTGAGATCTTGAATATCCTTTCTTTTATTTAGGCATAAAGGTTCTTGAGATATCTCTACCATTTCTAGAAACAAACGTTTATTTAAATTTTGTTCATGAATAATCACTTGTGAATTTCCAAAATCAAAATCGTGTCCTTCTTTAGTAGAATGTTCTGAAAGAGCACAAGAAAGAATAGTTCTTCTACAATCACTTTTATGTCGTGTTATCCTATCTTTTAATACAGTTGATGTTTGACCGATATAAACTTGATTACATTGTTCGCAAGGAATTTTATAGATTACTGAAGATTGTTTTAAAGTTTCATCTTTGTCTTTGACTTTAGAGTATAAATTGCCTATTTTATTGATATGTTTGTGTGCAATTTTTATGTCTGGTATAATTTCTAATATTTTGATTACTTTTTGTGAGACACTTTTAATATATGGTAATGCAAAATAATATATTTTATTTTGTATCTGAGGATCATTACTATTTATTATAATATTATTATTTTGTTGGTTATTCCCCATAGAATTATTTGTAATAAGTGACGTATTGTATAAATATTTTTTGAGAAAAGCATCTGGATAAGAGTTATCTTTCATTATATTATAAAGTTTTTTTATGTTATTTTCTCTAAATTCAGGGTGGGAAATTCTCTCAATTCTTCGGCGTAATCCTAATATAACATTTATTTTCATTTTTGTTGTATGGTAGGAATTGAAGTTGATATATCTACCTGAGCTTGTTGGTTTAGAATACCAATCAAGTTGGATTTTATTTTGATCATTTCTTATCACTAGAGTATCTAGAAATGGTACACTTTGATTATTTTCAGTTTCAATTGTGAATTGAATATTAGGATCATAACCGTTAAATGTTGAGATTAGTTCTGTAAGTTGGTCACGTGGGATTGCACAGATTAAATCATCCACGTATTTTTTAATGAAAGGCATATCAAAATGAAGTTTTGGAATACATTCGTTCAAAAGATCATCCATTACATATTGAGCGATAATAGGAGACATTGTTGCACCCATAGGTGTGCCTAAGATCTGTTTATAAAAAATATTTTGAAATCTGAAATATGTTGAATCGAAAATAAATTGTAATATTTCAAGAAATTGTTTTTGAGAAATATTGGTATGCTCAGAAATAATAGACCAGTGTTTTTTAATGCTTTTTTCTATTAAGTAGTAAGGTATTTTACTGAATAAAGAAACTACGTCAAGGCTTACAACTACATAATTGGCAGGTATACTCATATCATTGACAAGTTCTGAAAATTCAAAAGAATCAGTTATGTAATATGTATTATTTTTACTGTATGCGTTTGTCAAAACATCCGTGATTAGTTTTGCTAATTTACAGTTTGGAGCATTAATGGATGAAATAAATAATGAAAGCTTGGCTTAGTGGAAAAAGAGATTTTTATTTCCTAGCCCTTCAAGACGACCGATACCCCAAGAAACTCCCATTGTTTATAAATTCTCCGGTCAAGATACTCTGTAAATATATATATATATATATATATATATATATATATATATATATATATATATATATATATATATATATATATATACCGTGACTCTTCAGTAAACAGTACGTCTGCTGAGCCATCTGGATCAGAATATATACTCCTGGACAAAATTATCGCACCACCACTGCACATAAGCATCATAAGCAGTGGTGCGATAATTTTGTCCAAGAGTATATTTACCCACAAGCAATAGACAGAAACGTAAGCGTTGCGGGTTTAGTAGATATACAATGATCAGTGAGAATAACGCGACTACTACCAAAGCTACTAATGCGAGTGAGAATGACAAAATTGAAACCGTAGCTGTCTGCGATAGTGGCAGCAAAAGGAAAAAGCAGCAGCATTCACCAATGCAGCAGGATAGTGGTGTGGCAATACTGGCAGAAAGAAATGCTGTGATTTTTTTGAAATTGAGGTGGACCCCAGTACCAACGGCAAAAACAAAAATGATAAATTAGCCAAATGTATACCATGTTTTCAAAAACATAACAAAAGTGTTTACCTGAAAATGAAAATTTCTGGGACTCTTGGGTTAAAAAGACACTTAAAAGCAAAACATGGGACGTTATTTGACAAATAATTTTCTAGAGGAAAGCCTGATCGAAGCAAGATTCAGATACGTTTTAGCATTTTCATTGTTAGTCAAGATATTTCAAGATTTCTTGTTTTCTTGACAAGAAATCTTGGTATTGACATAAAATTTCTTGTCCTGTCTTGAAATCTAAAATTATTTCTTGTCTTGATCTTGTCTTGAAATCAATAAGACAAGATCAAGACAAGATCTTGAAATTGTCAAGAACTTGGCGACCCCTACCCAAAACTAACAGTTCAGATAATAATATGGATCTAAAATCCGACGAAAATATTGCAGCTTATGGAAATCATCCAAAAATTCAAACTTCGTCTCTAGATCCACTTGAGACATCCATTCGAAATTCAACTAGCAAAAACACAGCACGACTTGACTCAGCATAATAATAGTAATTTAGATCCAGTAACGACATAGGAAAATCACTCCATCAACACTGATGAATTTAAATCTCCTATTCCTTTAAAACTAAGAGAAAAGCAAGAAAGTCCTTGAAGCATATCGAATACACCAATTCACTGATTGACTGATGGCCAATCCACTACAAGCAATCTAAACATTTGTAGATCTCTCAAGACGCAGGCAAAAAATCCTGGCGACAGCCAAACTATAGCCCGTTGCATGGTTCTTGACCTACGGCTACTGAATAGACAGAGGGGACAATGGGCTATTGCTGCGTTGTCAGTTGTCATATCGATAATATTTATTAATACATGAAAATTGCAATAAAATTTCCATCATTTTCATGTAATAATAAATATTATTATTGATATGACAACGCAGCAATAGTCCATTGTTCTTTCTGTCTATTCAGTAGTCGTAGCTCAAGAACCATGCAACGGACTATACTAGAAAGATTTACCGCTTCAGAAGTAATTCAATCAAACCAAAGCTTTGGAGAATAAATACACAACCAACCGAACTTCAACTAAAACAGTCATTATGCTACACCACCTTACATCTACCAACAATAGTTGTTGGGTCGTACCAAAGACTAAAAATGCTGCTTATGGGACATGACCCTCCAAGAAGAAGAGAATATTCAAATCACACAGGCAAATTTATGCTATTTAATTCCATATTATGTTAATGCCTGTAAACTGATATATAAAACGATATATTTACCACATTTATCTTCCACATGGCATTGCTTCTCTTTCTCATAGCAAAGCGTAGCACTTTCGTCTTCGCCATTATGACAATCATTAATATCATTGCATATCTTGTCTCCCATAATACAGTTTCCCAGAGGGCATTGGAATCCATGGCAAATGGGCGGAAGGATCGGATCTGGTGTCATTGCTAAAATATGGCACAAATAATGAATTTAAAAGACACAACCGTTTATACTCACCCATTGCTTCAAAAACTAGATTTTTGTAAAACTTAACACTGGTATATTTTTTAGTATGTGAAAATCCACAGTGTCCCTTTTCTTCAGCGAAAACTGCGGCTGGATACCAGCCCATTCTTGTATCGCAAATGATGGTACCGCTCCAGGAATTATCCTGAAAATTGCAATTCTATACACAATTTCATATATCATGAAACATACCTGACAGTCTTCTTCGATCTTTTTTTCAAAACACCTGTAACCAACCAAGCAATGTTTAAGTGGCGCTAATGGCACAAACATAACTTTATTGTCGTTATCTTCCCCAATTGCATAGCATTTTTCTATTTGAAGCCCATCACGTCTCACATTTAAATCAGCTGCTTGAACGTATCGATTATAGAAAATATAATTTTCCAATCTTAATAGAACAATATCGGTATCGTTGATATTAATACTAGAAGTAACTCTTATGATTTGTTCATGAGGTCCTTTTTCAGTTATATGCAACTTGCCTTTACCTAGTACTGCTGTTATGTAGTTAGTTTTGATCCTTAAAATTGCTTAAATGAATAATGAGTGTGGAAATTATTGTAAAACCTACACATGCAACCCTTTAACACAATTATTCGAAGTCACTATCCATAATTTGTCCAGAACTGTACCCATACATTTATATTGACCGTTAAAGTAAATTGCTGCCATCCAAGGTGAAAAATAAAGCTCTTTTGCTTCTTTTAGTGATTCGTGTTGTAGGGTGGTACTTGTAGAGGTATTCGAACAACTATAAAAAGTCAAATAAAATTTTGAACCATCAAATCATGTGTTTACCTGATATAAAGTCCGTCACAACAATTTTCACAGTGCTTAGACTCATAATCCTGAACAACTTTGCCGCTAATCATCGAATAACTAGAATTAATGGTAACATCTTCAATCCTGTATCTATTATAAGTTAGATAATCATCAAAGCCAAGCAAATTGCAGAAAATAGTTCCCAAGGCAGGTTCGTTACCGATAAATTGGGAGGTTTTATTTAGACAAAACGGTTTCCATTGTCCTTCGTGGTTAATTGTCGCTATGCCTCTGGATTTGAACATTGGTCGATTGTCTTTGTCTAGTGTGATATTCTGACCATTGGTCAATGAGACTAAAATATACTTTCAAGTAAATTTCCTTCGCCATTAAGTCAATGATTTTATTCTATTCCAACTTACCACAATTTATTTCGTCATCTTTTAATGGACAATCAACTGTCCCATCGCACCTTTTAGTTAGTTCAATACATTTTTGAGAAAATGGACAAAGGTATTCTGTCTTATTGCAATGTACTAAAGATAAACAATAATTTAATATTATATTATAACACTCCATTCACCAAGTATATTACTTACCGCAATTATTTTCATCGCTTAAATCTGTACAATCAGTAACTCCATCACATATAGCATCAGCGTCAGTTGTTCTTATATAATCTGCACAAGTGCAATCAGTTTCATCACTACCATCTTCACAATCGAAAATTTTGTTGCATCTCTTTTCTATTGGAATTATTTGTAGTAAGACTTTGCATCTAAAGTACATCTTTTCAAATTCCGTATTTATTTTAGGTGCGTTATCTAAATAATCTTCAGATTTATCTTCAAAACTATCCGTATAATTTTTCCTGCTTTCCAATATTTCAAAATCGTCACCACTTGGTGTTAAATCATCAGCATCATCATAGTCTTCATAAGCGTTAGTGTCAATGGGTGGCAGCAAGCTTTTCTTTGAATGTTTAAAAATTTCTCTGAATTTATTTTCGCAATCCATTTCATCATCTCCAAGAAGACAGTCAATGATTCTATCACAACGACGTTTTTTTGGAACGCATCTTCTAGTTCCTTTGCATGTATAACCTGGACACTTTTGCAAAGGATTTCTCGTGGTCACTTTATCTTCTCCTAAAATAACCCACATATAAATTTAGATGTTATTTTCTTGAAAATCGTTACTTGTATTTTCAGCCATCCATCCCATATATTTGCTAACTCTAGTATAAACTCCTGGCTCGTTAGGTCTGGCACAACCTTCTCCGTGGCTAACAATACCGGCCAAGTACCACTGGTTTGGATTATTAGGGTTTCTACACATAAGTGGTCCTCCAGAGTCTCCTTGGCATGCATCTCTGCCTCCTTCAGTGAGTCCTGCACAAATTTCTTCAGTGTCAGAATCTTCTTTGTGCTTGCAGTGGTGCAGTATTGGAACTTCTACTTCTCGCATGTGATCAGCTAGAAGAAACTTACAGTTTTAGGTTTACTGTTGTTGGAAACTTTGTTCAAATTCAGGTTGAATCTACCAGCAAGGTAAATGATTCAAGTTCAAATTATTCACTGTCACTTTATATTTTCCTGTTTACTTCATCCTTTTTCTGTTATATTAAATCAAAAATGAATGTTACTTTAGACAACTATAACGACTTTGAGGATGAACAAAAACTAATAGCTGTAGAAGCGGGGAAAAAGTTTGAATTTGAAAAATCTGTCGAACATGAGCTAAGAGAAGTAGAACTTAGGTTTAAATGTATAAGAGGCTATTTTGTAAGGTGAATTATAACGCATTACGAAAAAACAATTTCTCTACTGTACTTTTTAGGTTTTCTTGGTCTAACAAAAAACAATTTATCCTGGCTGTCCTCAAGACGATTAATTCCTTCGACACATTACTACGCATCATCAGTTATTTATCATTAAATTATGGTAAAATTGCTGCGTACGCAAATGTTAGTCCTTACTGCAAAATGAATTCACAACAAATCTTTATTGATCATAACAGGGCTATGGAAGACAGTCTTAAGGGTTGTTATTATTTTTGGTATTATCCTTATAATTTGTTTGTTGTTATTAGAATCTACTTGTGAAGACATAAAATGGATGGGTACTTTACCAGCTAATAAACAAGTATTGATGATCATTAACCTGTTAAATTTGGGCGGAAGTGGTTTGTACTCAAAGATTTATTTTCCAACAGTGAATATTTATAATAAGAAAATTATAGAGCATAAAAAATTGAAGGAGAACAATCGTCTTCCTGAAAGAAGCAAGTAAATTCAAAATTAGATTAGAATTATAACTAAAAATACATTTTTAGATTTGAGTGAAATTTTTAAAGAAACTAGTCCAATGGATGATTCCGACCAATACCCCAGCGAACATCCTCTGAGTATTGAAGTGGAAAAAAATCGCAGAAAATGGGACGAAATAATTGATAAATATAAACGTGAAGTTTTGGCAAAATCTGATAAAATTCTGAAAATAGCCAAAACCTCAGCGACAAAAATCCCCAAGGAAAAAACAAAAAAGAATGAAGAAGGAAAAACTAAGCAACTAGAAAAAACTGGTAAGAAATCCATTGCTGATGGTGCTGATTGGGTTCAAACACTACCTATATGGATTGTTAAAAAAATATTTGGCCATTTCGACAATAAAACATTAATTAACTTGAAGAAGGTTAACAACTATTGGAGCTACGTTTGCGATAGCCTTATAAAAGACACACAAGCCAGGAGCTTTTTGGACGATGCAATTGCAAAAATGACTGAAAAAATTAATCCAAAAATATTAGAAGAATACGAAAAAGGGCAGCACGTATTGATGCAACCCACAAAGCCACATTTTCCACGTGAAATACGTATCAAAAAATTAATGAACAGAGGAACTGTATTAGAAGACATGAGACCATTGGTCGAAAAAACTCAGCAAACACGTATTTGTTTGACGAATTTAGTAGCTAAAACCGAAGAAATTTGTGATGCCGTAGATAAGCAAGTTATTTTTCCAAGAGTTATTAAGGATGATTTATTGCTGTACAAAGATTATCCTTGCGTTCTAAAGGATGTCAATATTATTATTGACGTGGAAGAAAGCGTACAAGAACAAAGAGAGACGATAATGTTTTCATTAAGCCGACAACTGAGCGATACGTTCAGTTTGAGTTTAAGTGAAGCTAATATAGCAGATTGGTGATATCTTTATTGCAATGTTTTTCAAATAAAAATTTATACACTTACGATCTGCTCCGTGTTCTGCTGTAGCTCCCCAACCAACAGTTGTACAAATAGTACCAGCAGTTGGACTGTTCAAATAATCTTTCCCAGATGTAGTTTCTGATGGTAAGCATATGGGTCTCACGTATCTGTTGTATCTTATGGGAGCTGAGAGTTTCATTAGAGCTGAAATAATTTGGTTAAAATTAAAAGGACACTCCAAAAAAAAAAAACTACATTCTTGTCTTTTTGGCGACGGCGAAATACACTAGCATTATATTTGTGAATGTTCTTACCTATATCGTTTCGCAAGTTTGTTTTACTATAGAACTCGTGAACTACAACCGCAATGACCCATCTCCTTTGATCCATTGGAGAATAGGAAAATCGCCTTAAAGCTCCTGCCTGAACTTCGTAGTAATATTGCCAATATCTAATAAAAAGTTCGATTAGATATACATTTTCCAAAATCAATTGGAACAAGGTAAACATAAATCATAACTGGTGGCTGACTAGTGACCAGTCAGTCACCAGTTGGTACCTTGTTCCAATTGAGTTTGGAAATACTATACTTAAAGCATTTTGAACAATGATTTCTCACCTATCCGCACAATGCGACGCAGTCACAATCCACAACTCATTAATCAACACACCTCCACAATGGAAAATTCCATTTTTGTAAATTGACACCAACCAAGGCCATGATGCTGGTTGACTGGGCTTACCACCAACTACTCTTGAATCTTTCAGAATAAAGTCAACATTTTCATCTTCAGACACATGTCTACGTGTAAAAGTCTTCTCCAGATCTTCAATAACTTCCTCCAACTGCTCATGAGTCAGCTTTCCTTTAGTACTGAGGTCTAAATCTTGATGATTGTTTTTTATGCGATCCAATTCAGCCTCAAGATTAATCCTTTCATAGCCACCCTCTTTTACTTTATAAGCCCTTTCAAGATCACTAAGTAAATCTTCAATGCTAGTATCAACTTCTTCATTCCTATAAGGGTTATTTACCAAAAATCTAAGGCCACAATAGATGGGAGGACATTCAACAAAAGCTGCCCGATCTTGAACGCAAGTATTTACAAGACTCACTTCACTATTTGGTAAAACATTTATAAAGAGGCCATCGTATGGGTCTGTTGTTAAGGTCATATGCGCTTTTGGAATCCTAAAATCAACCTACTATAAAACAAAAACAAAAAAATGACCAAAATCTTACATTGCACTTGGGCCAGCTTCAACTGTGCAAACTTGTGCAGCCCACAATTGAGTTCCAAAGCAGGTAGGATACCATTTTCCTTTATAATTCCTATGAAGAAACCCAACAGAATTCGAAACTTTACTCAAAGGAAAATTCCCAATGTGATCCGCCAACATCGAGCAATCCATTTCATCTTTGCCAGTCACTTCGCACTGTTTTATTCCATCACATTTTTGCACCAATGGTATACAAGTGGATCGTCTAAATCTCGACCAATCGTCACAAGAAAATTCATTTATACCACAACCAAAGCAACCTTGTTCGTCTTCACATCGCGGACAATCACAATAACCATCACAAAGTCGCAATTTTCCTACTCTTTCTTTGCAAGTACAAGCAATTTCGTCACTGGAATCATCACAGTGCACTTCACCGTCACAAATGTGATAATTTTTTATACATTTACTGTTGTCGAGACATGCTTGCTCTCCTAATGGACATAGTATAATAGATGCTGCTCTGGATTTATTGTTGCTAAAATATAACATTGGAAAGATTAATTATTCTTAATAATGCACAGTGGCGGATACAGTGGCGGATACAGTGGCGGATACAGTGGCGGATACAGTGGGGGCCAACTGCCACACTTTTGTCTTTGTCTCAAGAACCACTTTTGTCTTTGTCTCAAGAACTTTAACCTCAAACAGTATATCATTTGTGGTTGAGTTGATGTATTGTTTTTTTTTTTTTTTTGTCTAAATATTCATACAAAATCAATAAGATTATGTACAGGGTGTTTTTTTATATATTGACATCCCACCTATAACCTTTACCTTTATAGGTAGATGAAAAGAGTAAATACAAAAATTGTACTACAGTATTGGCTAAATTTTCAAAATCCATGGTCAAAAACAAAAATTGAATGTCAGAAATGTGTAATATTGCATGCTTTCTGCTTTTTTCAAATGAGATGCGCTATATTTGATTCTATATTCTTGAAGAATACAATTTTCCAAAACAATATAGTTTGTCTATATTTGGTTGAGCCGTCTCCAACATATTTGGTTCTAAAAATTTTAAAAATACTATCAGAGAAACCAAGTACCTTTAATTTCACCTGCAGCTTTCACTTGTACAGGTAGAATGGTTCACAAAATCAGTAGTAAGATCGTATTTTTACAATTGTTGGAGCCAAATATATGAGAGATTGCTCAATCAAATATAGATCGGGGCATTGTGCTCTCCAAGAATATAGAATGAAATATAGGGCATCCCAATTGAAAGAAGCTAGAAGCTTGCAAAATTTCACATTTCTAACATTCAAATTTTGTTTCTGACCATGGTTTCTAAAAATTCAGCCAAAACTGTACAACTTTTGTATTTACACCTTTCTTCTACCTGTGAAGGTAAAGGCTGTAGGAGGGGTAACAATATATAAAAAAACACATGGGAGGTAACTCGCAGCCATCTACTCACCAACTAAGATACTCACCTGAAACGTGTAGTTTTTAAACTAATGAGAAAAACTCACATTTGACTGAGTCAGGTTAGTATCGTAATAAACCAACATATTGATGAATAGATGGCTGCGGAACTCGCTGCGCTCGTCCCGCAGAGGTCCACCTAGAAGTTCTGCAACAATCCACTTATTTGTACTTGAACAATAACTTATATAAAGTCAGAATTTGTAAGATTATCCACTTTTTGTCAATTTGCCTTTTAACAGGAAAATTTTAAAAATACTATCAGAGAAATCAAGTACCTCAAATTTTACCTGCAGCTTTCACCTGTATAGGTAGAATGGTTCACAAAATCAGTAGTAGGATAGTATTTTTACGATTTTTGGAGCCGAATATATGAGAGATTGTTCAATCAAATATAGACAAATTATATATTTTTGAAATCGGGGCATTGTGCTCTTCAAGAATATAGAATGTATAGTAGGGCATCCCATTAGGAAAAAAGCTAGAAGCATGCAAAATTTCACATTTCTGACAATCAAATTTTGTTTCTGACCATGGTTTCTAAAGATTCAGCCAGAACTGTATACAACTTTTGTATTTACACATTTCTTTTACCTGTAAAGGTAAAGGCTGTAGGTGGGGTGTCAATATATAAAAAAACACCCTGTACCTACCTATTTAAAATCACCTTATTCTCCTAAATAGTTCCCCCACAATGCGCTGCCAAAACTAACCCATAAACTGCCCCCCCCCCTTTTCAAAAGGCCTGTATCCGCCCCTGATAATGCAATGCTTACCTAGCTTCAACATCCTCTACATCATCCATTAAACTTTGCAAATTAGATGATTCTCTTCTAACTTCAATTCCAGCCAAATGAGCTATATTATTGGTAGGCGTAGGAATAGGGTTGCACATAAAATACTGCCCTCCAGGAGATGTAACTTGAACTTGACTATTCAAACTATTGGCACTAGCAATGGAGCCTGGTTGCGAAGGAAAAAATCCAGAAGCCATGTAAGGATTAGCTGGATAATTTTGATAAGTCAGCTGTGGGCTTGGAATTGGAGGAGTACCATAATACATGGCTGGATTTAGAACATACATAGGTTGATTTTGTGATTTTTGCGGTGTCACTTGGACGACCTTCAAAAATCCAGGTTCCTGGATACTACCAACTCTTCCAGGTGCTGGCATGAAGCTTGTATAAGGATTCATGTAAGGATAAAAGCAGGGATTAACAAAGGCTTGTTGGTTTGATTGGATGTCTTCTGAAGCTGTAAAGCTATCCATTTGTTTGGCTTTGGTACGAATTTCTTCTTGGGGTTGCCTGGATCTTGAAAGGCCTACAATAGTTTCTGTTGGGAGAGTGTGAGAAGTACTTGTGAGAGGACTTTTAAGTGTTTCTGCTATCGTTGGAGGAATAGGAGATGTAGATTCATCAGTTTTAAAATGATTTTTTTCAGTCAATAATGTTTTAGTTGGAGTTGGGTTATCGTCCAGAGGTTGTTTGACTTTCGCGTGGATTTTTTCTTGAGTTTGCCTTGGCTTTGAGAGATCTACAAATATTTCGATTGCTTTAGGCAAATGTGTTTTTGTAGTGGATTGAGCATCACTTGATTTGTCTTTTTCTAGATTTGGTATATTTGATAAAGGACTTTCATCATGCTTTTCTGCTGGTTGCAACGAAATGGGAGATTTATCGGTTTCAGATAGATTTTCTTTCGTCGTTTGAGTTTTTGGATGTTTTCCTAGGGGTGAGATATTTTCTTCAAATTCCAGATTATCTGACCTGTTAGTTTTGAGCCAACTTGTTGGTAACACGAAGATTTCATCTGGATTATTTAAAAAAATAGCTTCAGTAGTAAATGGTTTGTCATTTGATTCAGTAAAGTGCAATATTTTTTGATCCAGTGCTGTATTTTTGAAATGTTCCTCTGGAATTTTTGGGTTTTCAGCGAGTGAAGTTGGAATTTCTTGAACAGTTTGCATGCCAAAGCCGGTTTCCGTATTTTGATCCAACCCATTATGTTCCAAGTTGGGTTGATGAACAATACGTTCAGATTCTTGCTGATTTTGGGTTTGTGAAGTAAATGTATGCTTCTGTTCAGATTTACCGGCAATATTTTGAGGTAAAGGCCCTTCAGAATTCTGATTAATATTTGAAATTTGCATATGGGGAAAGTTTGGTTGATCATTTTGGTTTTGTTTGTCCATGTTAAATGGAATAGGCCTTTGGTTTTCACTAGGATTTTTCAGATTGACTGGCAGTGGATTGAAATTTGAAGATGGTTCACTATTGAGATTTTTTGGTTTGGTAAACTCTTGATGATTTTGCATGGGATTGGTATTTGGTGACTGGGGAATTGGTGAATGATTTTCCAAATTAACCTTAGTTGGTGGAAACAATGATTCTATATGTGGATTGATTGGCTGTTGTTGTTGTTGATTATACATGTTGGATGGAATAAGCCTTTGGTTCTCACTAGGATTTTTAGAATTGACCGAAAGTGGATTGAAATTTGAAGATGTTTCACTGTTGAGATTTTTCAATTGATCTTCCATATTATGAGGAATAAATTCTTGGTTATGCATGGAATGGGGATTTGGTAACTGTGGATTTGGTGAATGATTTTCCAAGTTCACATTAGTTGGCGGAGGAAATGATTCTATATGTCGAGTAATTGGTTGTTGTTGATTTTGGCTTTGATGGTTCAGATTGACTGGCAGTGGATTGAAATTTGGAGATGTTTCACTGTTAAGTTTTTTTGGTTGATCTCCCATATTATGAGGAATAAAATCTTGATTTTGTATAGGATTTGGCCACTGGGGAATTGCTGAAGGATTTTCCAGGTTAAAATTAGATGGCATATGGGGACTGATTGGTTGTTGTTGATAATTTTGGTTCTGGTCTGCTACATTTTGAGGACCATAGTTCATGTTTTGTCCAAAATTTGGATCAGATGGTACAACCACTTGTTGCGGAAAATTTACTGGTAGCTGTTGATTGAAAGGTTGTTGGTAAACTGGCATAAATTCTTGATCATGTTTGGGTTGCATAACATTTCCACTTTTAGGAACTTCAGGATAGGAATTAAAATTCACCATTCCTGGTTCATGGTTATTAGGTTGATTTGGAGTATGATAATTTACAGGTACATTTTCTGGGAAATTCAAGTTACCATTGGCTACGACTTGAACATTATGGTCGTTAGAAGTTTGGTGTTGTGATGGCCCAGGAACATTGGCAATTTGCAAATTGTTTTGGAAATTTGTTGGAGATTGAATATTTTGATGGGAAATATTAGGATCAACTAGATCATGTCGCAAATTTGGATCATTGAATTCCAAATTAGTTCTTTCATTTAATGGATACTTTGATTGTTGAAGCTCTTTTAAATGACTTTTATCCAACGTTATTTCATGATATTCATCAAAATCCCTCACTTGACGCTTTTTTCTACGATCCAGTTCATATTCCAATAAAATATTTAGCATTTCATTCACTGTACAATAATCAGTTAACCCATGTAAATCAGTGTTTTCAAAAACACTACAGCAAGCATCTACAGTTTGTTTTGTTTGACATAAATTCAGTTCTTCATAAGAATCATACAAATAATTGCCAGATTTAAGCTTTTCTCTAAAAAGAGCTTGATTGAGCATTCTGGTGATGTTGACAAATTCTTCAGTTGGAGATGGAGTTGGTTGAAATATTTGATTGGATTCGTTAAGTTGGTTTATATGAAAAAAATGATAGCCTGCAATGAAAAAGAATATAGTTATTACGAAAATATGTTTCAAATAAAAAATCGCATACGTTTGTTGGCAAATCCAAAAATAATTGTTGTTAATACGACAAGAAAAATGGCTCCCAAAGCAAATATTAATTGAGTCACGTATCGCAATTGGGCTCTTTGCTTTTGCATTGCACGTTCGTGTTCGATTTCTACAAAAAAAAATCCCGTTCAATACCATGACCTGGATATTTTAGGTGAGAAACACTAATGATTACTTATCAAATTATACAGGGTGTAAAAAAAAAGGTGTACAGGATTTCTAGTGGTGATACTGCATATGAAAATAAGAAAAAATGTTCCTATAAAAATATTATGCCCTAAGATGCTTTTTTGTTTTGTGAGTAATTACCCTCTATCCTTATGGAAACATCCCTTTCAGAACTGTTACGACTTTTTTCACAATTACCATTCGCTTTGGCATGGAAATGTATGCGAGAATACCTAATTTAAAGGAAAATAGTTTGCCACTGATCTTGAAAATAAATAAAATCCATTATTTTCATCTACTGTTTGAAGGGCTGTAACTTCTTCAGGGAGCATCTTAGGGCATATGTTTATAGGAACTTTTTTCTTATTTTCATATGTAGTATCACCCCTCGAAGTCCAATACACAATTTTTTTTTACACACACCTT